AGAGACACCATGAGAACATAACATTATGCTTCATTGCTCTGAATAGACCTTACTTGGCTTCTAATTCAAATAAACTTTTTTTTTAATGGGACAAGAGGGAAAGTTAGAAAACTTAAGACTATAGATTGGATACATGAGGATATTAGAAATTGGTGTTCAGTGGTTTCATGGTGTTAGGGTTGTATTTTCAAGGTAGAGTTTACCTTTTGGTCATAGTAAAGTATTGACTAACCCCGTAATGAAACGTCTAGAATCTATGGAGCCGGGCAAGAGGAGGTAACACAAGACTCCCCACCTCTGGACTGACAAGTGGTGAAGGCAGCTGCCAGGCACAAGGGAAATTCATCACCCTGATCTGTCTGCCTTGGATCTGTTTAGCATTTTTCACAATGAAAAGCTAAACACATCTAACCATGATGTCTCTGTGTGGGGTCTCAGCCCCCTGCAGTCCGACCTCAGCCTCAAAACACCTGGGAAGGCTCAGCTTTCCACCTTCTCTTTTGGTCTTTATTAGGGACAATTAAATGTACCAGAGTTTTGCTGCCATTTTCTATACACGTATATAAGTACTTTGACCAAATTCAACCTCCCTCCCTCCCTTCCTTTTTTTGTGCTGGTCCTAGAGCTTGAACTGAGATCCTGGGCCCTCAGAGTTTCTTTTGCTCAAGGATAGTCCTCTACTTACCACTTGTGAGGCAAACCCCTCCCCTCCAAAAACACACACACACAAAAACAAAAAACAAGCAGTTGGGTACTGATGGCTCATGCCTATAATCCTAGCTACTCAGGAGGCTGAGGATCATGGTTCAAAGCCAGCCCAGGCAGGAAAGTCCATGAGATTCTTCTCTCTAATCAACTACCAGAAAACTGGAATTGGCACTATGGTTCAAGGTGGTAGAGCACTAGCCTTGAGCAAAAGAGCTCAGGGATAGCACCTAGACCAGCCCTGAGGTCAAGCCCCATGACAAAAAGAAACAAAAATGAATTTGAGCAGACTTTTTAGATTGAGCCCCTGTGGGTTGAACTACATACAGTTCTACTTTCAGCTTTCCCTCTCTCCCTCCCTTCCTACTATCCTTCCTTCCTTCCTTCCCTCTCTCTTTCCCTCTCTCCCTTTCTTTGTGAACTCAGGGTCTGGGCACCATTCCTAAGCTGTTTTTGCTCAAGGCCAGCACTCTCCTGGGCCACAGTTACCTTACCACCTTTTTTGGTGGTTAATTAAAGAGTCTCACAGACTTTCCTGCCTGGACTCACTTTGAACCAGAATCCTCAGCTCTCAGGCCCCTGAGATGCTGGGATTACAGAATGAACCATCAGTTTGGCTCATGTCACGCTATCATTTCTTTTTTGGACGAGGTTCTACATTTTAGCAAACACACTTGTCAATGTCACACAATATAACGATCTTTAGTTCTGTTCATTTTCTTACTTATGACACTCATCCTTTACTTCTAAAGAATATTCTATTGAGCAAATGCACTGCATTGTTTGTTTGTTTGTTTTATCCAGTCATTAGTTTGGGGCACCTAGGCTGATTCCAGTTGGGCTGTGTTTTGTTTTGCAGTGAACATGGGTGTGCAAGTGTCTCTATTGTGTACAACTCCCATTCACAATATCCATTTTGGATATGGGCCCAAGCACGACACTGCCCAGCCCTACACCAGTGTCCACTGTGAATGAATCATTCACATTCCCACCAACAGCATGAGGGCCTTCCCCACCTGTCCTGCCAGATCTGCTGTCATCCTCTTGTTGATGCCCATTCCAGAGTTCTGGTCTGCACTTCCTTTAAGCCTAAGGATGGAAGAACATTTTCTCCTATAGTTATCTGCCATTTGTAGTTCTTCAAAGAACTAGTTGTTCCATTTGCCCACTTATTCATTGGTTCTTGGTTCTTTTTTTTTGTGTGTGTGTGTGTAAGCTCTTTGTATACTTTGCACATTCATCTTCTGTTTGATGAATGGCTGGCAAAGGTTTTCTCTTATTCTTTGGGCTGTGTCTTTTCTTGGATGCATAGAAGCTGTTAGATACGATACAATCCCATTTGCCACTGGCTCTCATTTCCTGAAAAACTGCATCCTATTTGTAAGGGTGGGAAGAGCCAGGACTGGATTTGGGGAGGTCCTGTGGCATGCATGGCCCAGGTGGTGCCATGGCTCAGGTAATGCTGTGGTTGGTGAGTCTTTTCTTTGCCATTGGGCTTGTCACCTCCTACCCAATTTGTCTTGAAGAATCCCAGTAGAGGGACTCCTGATTGAGTCTTAATCGTGCTGGCTTGCCCTTCTTTTCCTTCCCAAAATCTTTATGAAGATTTCCCAGGCCATTGCTAGTGGCTCACACGCCTGTCATCCTAGCTATTCTGGAGGCTGAGATCTGAGGATCACAGTTCAAAGCCAGCCTGGGCAGGAAAAGTCCATGAGGCTTTTATCTTTAATAAACTATCCCTCCCCCCCGCAAAAAAAAAAAGCCCGAAGTGGAGCTGTGGTTCAAATGGTAGAACTCTAGGCTTGAATTAAAAAGCTCAGGGACAGTGCCTAGGCCTCGAATTCAAGTTCCAAGACTGGCCCAGAAAAGAACCTGGGTGCTGGTGGCACCTAGCTACTTAGGAGGCTGAGGATCTGAGGATCATGGCTCAAAGCCAGACTGGGCAGGAAAATCCAAAAGACTCTTACTTCCAATTAATCACAGAAAGAGCTGGAAGTGAGGCTGTCGCTTAAGTGGTGGAGTGCTAGCCTTGAGCAAAAGGAGCCTAGAGACAGTGATCAGGCCGAGTTAAAGTCTCAGGACTGACATTGGGCAATCAGCATTTTCAAGCTCCTGACTTCCCCGTCAGAGGATGCTGAGGGCGGGGAGGAGGGGGACCATGGCTGGGCAGTGGTTGGGGCAGGGAGATCAGGGGGAAGGCACTGAGAGGCACCTGTGCCAGAGGCCTGGTGAGCTTGGGTTGAGGACAATAGGACCTGTGCCCCCTGCGAGGTTCTTGCTCTCCAGCTTCTGAGGTGCTGCCTCAGACATGGGAAGAGACTGCAGCCTTGTGAACTCAGACACACCTGCAAGAGTCCTCACCCCCCACCTCGACCTTGTGAACATGCAGGACACAACCGCAAGGGTGCGTTCACCCCTCCCCCACCCACTGGGAACCCAGGAGCCCCAACTTCAACAAGCCACTGCCCTAATGGGCAGCCCCAGCCCTGGCACACTGGCCTATAGCCCTGGCTGGAGAATGGGGAGGCCAAAGGTTGTGGCCTCAGGTGGGTGCCCTCCCATGGCACCCAAGTCTGGTCCCCTCGCCACCTTAAAGGACTCTCTGAATCAACAGCTGCCCCAAGACCAGCATAAAGGCTGTGTTTCAATTCTCATTGTTTCCTGTCAAGGCAACTGCTTGGGATGACCAGTATAGACAAGGGGGTAGAAGGCATCACCAGGGGCAAAGTTCCAGAGCAGGGGAGCCAGCCCCAAGTTTCTGTGACCTCCAAACCTCCCCGCTCTCCCTGAGGCCTGACCTCCCCTTCCCCCCACCCCCCTGTTGCACGGTGCTTGGACTGGACAGGTACTGTGGGCTAGCTCAGGCCCGGGAAGCCCTGCCCTCCCCTCCTCAGCCCTACACCATGGGGCTTGGCAGGGAAGAACTTGTCTCATGGCTGTGGTGAGAGAGGGAGGCTTTGGGGCTCCCTGATACCAGGCTGGGAAAGGGGCGGGGCGGGGGGGGGGCAGGGAGAGAAAGGCAATTAAAACACAACAACCAAGCCAACCTTTTAAATAGCAACTTTTAAAAATATAAAAACAGCTCATTACAACGACTTTTTTTTTTCTTTTCAGGAATAATGTTCTCCTACCCTCGCCCTTCCTTCTAGAGTCTTCACAAGGGATCCAGGGTGACAGCATGGCAGAGTCCGGATGCCCCACGCCCTCCTCACCCAGGCTGGCTCCAGTCCCCACTGAGTCTCGGTGGTGCCTGCTGGGCGCAGCGGCTCAGCCCTGAGCAGCACAGGTGGGCAGGGCAGGTTCCCAGATGCCCTTTCTTCCTTCTCGCCAGACCAAACCCCCACTATAAAACAATCCATAAAAATGCGGTATAAAAATTCTCTTCCATATGCTACATCCGTGGAGACCCGCCATCGGGACAAACACACCCTTTAGCTTCTCTTAAGAAAACAAAACAAAACCAGACCCAAACACAAACCAACAAAATCCCAACACTTCACATTCGGTGTTACCAAGCGGTACTGGCATCTGGTGTCACCTGCCTGGGACCAGAGAGAGATGAAAGCTGCAAGGGTCCAGGCTGTGTCCCCCACATTGCAGCCCCATGACTCACCCTAAGAGGTGATGGGTGGGGGGGGAGGGGGCGCGGTCATCTTGAAGACCCACAATCCAGGGGTTTCTCCTCCTCAAGGGATAGGAAAGGCAGGCAAGGGGAGAAGCCATTTTGTAAAAGGACGTCACTTCTAATTCTTTTTTTTTTTTTTTTTATTCAAAAAGTAAAAGAAAAAAAAAAAAACAACAACGAAACAAGAAAGCACCCGCACCAGTTGCAGTTTCCTCTGGCAGCTCCCTGAGCTGAGTTACTAGAAGTTTCTCTCTCTCCTGTGGTCCTTTTTCAGGCTGCCCTGTTAGAACCATCTCTCTTACCACAATGACTGGATATGCACCAAAGGGAAATATGGACCCAGGACAGAGAGGTGGGGGGGGTGGGGGGACAAAGAGAAAGAGAGTAAGGGCGGGGGGAGGGAGGGGACAGAGAGACAAAGACAGGCCGGAGAGGCTGGAGGTGGACAGCACACAGATGTTAAGGAAAAGCCCAGCTGCGGCCAGGCCCGCCCATCTCAGCACTGTCTGTCAATCACTCATCCGGACATGCGTGGATGCCATGAGTCATATCAAGGCAGGCTGCCCCCCAAACTCAGGACTTTTCTCCCTACTCGCCTCCCTCTGTCCGTTGCTCTCCGGCCCCAACTACCTTTCTGAGATGGGAACTTCTGTTTTTAAAAGAGAAAGAGGAGAGAGAGAGAGAGAGAGAGAAAGAGAGAGAGAGAGAGAAGAAAAGCCACCATGAGAGTGGGCTACAAATACAGCAGGCAACGGAGGCACGAGCTTCTGGCGAGGCCGCCCCCTCCCCCGGCCACGCGGCACTAGGAGTCTGTGTCTGTTATTTACATTTTCACAAGCCTGTGCTCTGTACAATGGGGAACAAGATCTTCCCCTTCCTCCCTCCCCCCCACAGCACTGTGGTCAGCTCCAGTGTCCTGGACCCCAGGGTCAGTAGAAAGGGGGAGGAAGAGACAGAGACGCATGAGGGTGTCTGTGGGGAACTGGAGCCAAGGCCTCCAAAATAAATCTATTTGTAGCATCTGCCAGCACTGTTAAGGGGAAGAGGAGAAAATCCTGCAGCCAGGCGCCCAGCCCCACGTGGGGTGCATGCTTCTCTGCCTGCCGGCGCACCCCAAACTTGCCGCTCACGGCATCTTCAGTTCCTGCCAGAGCCACGCTTGTGTCTCCCAGAGTCAGAGTCCTTGTTCAGTAGATGACCTCATAAACTGTGGCCTTCTTGTCACCAGAGCCTGTTACAATGTATTTGTCATCTGCCGAAATGTCACAGCTCAACACGGAGGAGGATTCTTTCGACTGTTGGAGGGAGACAGAGAGAGAGGAGAAATTCATTCTCCATGTCCTCCACGACCCAGCAGCAGCTCAGTCCTGGGGCCCAGTCCCCACCAAACCAACTAGGGACGAGAGGGGAAAGGGGGGATTGTAGTTCAAGCTCCCCTGAAGAAAAGGTTGATTTCAACAGAATATAGTTCATCGCCAGGCCCTGTTTATAAGCAAGAAGGTTCAGTCTGAGCTATAGCAGCATCAGGTGCTCCATGTCAGCCTTGTAAGTCAGGACGGATACCCGGGCTCAGAAAGGGACATGTGTGACATACAGGATACCAGACATGTCAGCGCTAAGGAGCTCCTGTATGAGCATGCGTGTACATGTGTGTCAGGGTATGCATATGAGAGGAAGCAGTGGTATATGCTCCCCACCCCCGCCAATCATGTCAGTAGCCACGCCCCCTCCTGTTCTTCCTCACCCTGAACCAATCAGAACAGGCGGTCTGGCAGTGAAGCCTCTCTGGACACTTAGGTGCCACGCCTACCTTCCACAGGGCCCAGAGAGCCCTTGTGTGACCTTGCCCTTGCTTTCCTGGTCCCAGGTGAGGCTCTTAGGGGTCAGCGGCCATCAGCAAAATATAGCATGTCATGCTACAGCCCCCACCCCACCCCCAAAGCCCTCTCTGGATGACCCATTCTGGGTCTCCATCATGTAAGCAGAGAAGGGGACCAGGCAGGTCTGCTCTCCACCCCTAGCCCCAGGGACTACATCCTAAAGAGCAGGAAGTGGGGTGCGGGATGACAGGTGGGTGGGGAGCAGGGTGGCAGGTGGACGGGGTGCCGGCGCACCTGGAAGATGCTGGCCCCGTACGGTGTCCGCCAGGCGTTGAGGAGGTTGTCTTTCCCAGTGCTCACGAACCATTTGCCTGCAGACAGAGCAGAGCCCGCTTAGGCCTCGGCCCTGGCCCTCTACAGCAGTACAGGCCCTAGACTTGGCTGCCACAAGTACCTGAGGCTGGCTGTGGGGCTTACCGTAGTGTTCCACTTGCTTTTTACCAGTGAGACAGGTGGACACTCAAGAGAATGCTTTTGTCTCCCATACAGGGGAGGTGCAGAAGGGCCGGGATGGGAAAAGACAAGACCTGCACTTCACACTCCCAGCAGGAGACATCAGAAACAGTGCATCCCAGCTGGGGACAGTAATGGGCAGGCACCTTCCTCCAGGTGTGGGTGCGCGGCAGGGCCCTGGGTTACCAGGCCAGCGCCTCCCTCCCCCAAACCACGTGAAGGGCCCCAGTTGGTGCTCTTCTCAGCCACAGAGATAAACCTACTTGGATTCAGGGAGGGAGAGCCAACTTTGTGCCTTTACAGGTGGTAGAAGGGGAGCAGGCTGCAAGATGGCAAGACCTGCGGCCCTGAGCCCTCCAGCCCCCTGCCCGCACCCCTGCTCCCAGGAGCCACCTGAGCAGTTACCCAGGATGGGCTCTAGTGTCCTGAGAGCCCAGTGGCCCTGGGGTGATAGGTGTGTGTGTGTACACACATGCACAAGATCCACGGGGCCAATCACTCCTGATTCCTCACTACGCTGCTACCAGGGGGTCCCGGCCCACTTCCCATACCAGGTCCCGCTGGCTCACCACAGCAGGCAAACTTGAGGGACAGCACGCAGCTCTCATGCAGGTGCAGCTGGTACTTGTCTGGCTTGGTGTGGTGCAGCACTTCCACATTGCTGCTCTCCATGCCCACAGCCAGCCACTCCCCGGTGGGGCAGTACCCCAGAGAGAAGATCTGTGGGCACATACACAGCTCAGTGTCCTCAGCAGTGGGGCCCGATGCTCAGGTGCCCGGCTCAGGCCCTCCTCATCCCATCATCTAGGCACCCTGGTGGGTCAGAGGACCCCAGACCACATCTGCCTCTGTGACCCCGATCCCTCCTTAAAACAAAGGTGAGAAATGAAAATAACAAATGGTGACGCCTGGCCTTCACTGAAGTCCAGGCCGGGCCAAGGCTGGCAGAATGTGCTCACTCCAGAGCTGGGCAGGAGCCCTCAATGTCTCCATCCCACCATAAGGAAAGTAGATGTGAAGTCCCCCCCAGCCCCAAACAGGCCAAGTGCCCAACTCCAGGCCTCGCTTCCTCCACAGCACTGCGGCCCCTTCCAGGAGGCCTTCCTAGACTGGTCCACGAGGGCCCGGTGTGGAGGACCCCCGTGAGGGCCCGGTGTGGCCGGGAGCGCACGGATCTCCTGGGGTGCACACCTGTGAGGTGAAGTCGTGCTGCTGCAGCTGTCGACCCTCTCGCAAGTCCCAGGAGCGCACAGTGTTGTCTAGGCCTCCTGTCCACAGCTTTGTGCCATCGTGGGAGATGTCTATACAGCTGGCCCCGTCCGTGTGGCCCTGGAACTGCCTACAGGGCCACGAGGGAGGGAGAGTGAGCCCCAGGGAACCCCCACTGCCAAGCCAACATCTGTGCTCTGGAAGAGGCCCCACACCTCTCTTGCTCTGGCCTTCTCCCCCAGCCTCCTGGAGACAACCTCCAATCTCTGCCTCCACGACCCCTCGAACCAAAGCCATCTCTTCTCTTGTAGGATCCCCTCACTCAAGCCAATCTGAGCCCAGGGCCTCCTCGAGCAGAGCCATGGTTCTGGAGAAGGGCCAGGCCGCCAGAACAAGGCGGGGGACCTCCTCCTCGCGCACCTCACCTGACCAGCGTCTGGTTGTGCAGGTCCCAGACAGCAATGTTGCCGTCGCTGCAGCAGGAGAAGCAGACTTTGGCGTCAGGGCTGATGGCCAGGGCATAGCAGGCGGGCGCGGAGGAGGTCAGCTCGGCCTTGATGCGGGGCGTGGGCGAGGCCAGGTCCCAGATGGTGAGCGTGCTGGCTTCACCGCCCACGATGAGTGTGCGCCCGTCCGGCAGCAGCTTGCATGAGCGGATGTAGTTGTCCCTGTTCTGGAGGGAGACGCGCGGAGTTAAACACAGCCCACTCTGGCCACTGGTGGCCAACACTACCCAGCTCACGCAGAGCTGTGCCAGGTGGTCCCAGTTCACGGGGTCCAGGCTGCCCGCCCTGCTCTGCCTGCAGCTGTGGGTGGGGGCGCTCACCAGGCAATCGAGCTGGGAGATGGGGCTCTTGCTGCCCGGCTGGCTGATGTCCCAGATCTTCACACAGCCCTTGCCCCCCGTGTAGACATGCCGGGTGGGATTGCTGATGGTCACGGCGCACACTACCTCCCCGTGACTCAGGGTGTTGATCTGCCGGGCGTGCCTGGGGATGCCGGGGCCTGCCAGGGCATCGTGGGGGAAGGGCACCGGCTGGATCTGCCCATCAGCGCTCACGTGGAATGAGTATGCTCTGAAAAGGGGAAGGCGGTCACCCCTGGCACCCAGCGCCAGTACACGGCCCTGAACGGCTGCCCTGCCCACCCCCCCCACCCCGCGGCCCTCACTGTGGAACTCCTGTAAATCCTGGAAGCCCATCCAAGGATGGCTTCACATCCCAGCCTTGAATTTCACTCCATTTATATGTATAGAAATAATATGCATGTTATATACAAATACATATATGTTTATGTAATTATATATAATAAACGTATAGATAGACGTTACATATACTAAACACACACACGTGCTAGCCCTGGACAAGTCTCCAGCTAAGTGCCAGCCCTTCCTTGCCTGGGAGCCAATGAGTGAGGGAGGGCAGCCTGCCCAGCCCACCGACAGCTGTCAGGGTCGGGGGACAGCATAGTGTGTATGTGTGTGTGTGTGGGCAGGATACAGTGGGGTTTCCACATGAAGTCAAGATTCTCCACGCCTATCTGAGTACCACCTGCATGTTCAACCTTTTCCCTCTGCAGGGAGCCCTGGCCCTGGGGGCAGGGAAGGGCTGTGACTTGTACAGCCGTGGGTCTGTCCACAGGCAGCAACTTTGGGCCCACCTTTTTCCCCCCGCAATCAATAAGCAGGGACTTGGGGCTCCCCGAGCTGATCATGACTGCACCCCTCCAGGGCCAGGCACTGTCCCAAGGGATGAAGCCCATGGTGAGGGGAATGGCGGAGGGTGGGGGGAGGCTCCTCTCTGCTGCCCCACAGACAAGAAAGCCAGGCTTACGGTTTCCCTCCGGGAATAGTGGCGAGGCTGGAAGGCAGGCCCGTGGCCCGCATGGGGGGGTGAGGGTCGAAACCAACCTGCAAGGAAAGTCAAGGGGCCCTCAGTAAGCCCCCACAGAGCCCATCCCGTCCCCACCCTCTGGGCACAGCACTGGTTGGAATACTCCAAGCCCCCTGCTCTAAATGGTGGCAGGGACTGGGTAGGGGGGCAATCCAGACCCCCAGCTCTGACTTGGTATCTGCCCAGCCACCCTGGAGTGGGGACTCCCCTTGATATAGAAAGCTTGGGGAGAAACTGTCCTGGGAAGGGGCCTCCCACCAGCCCCAACTCTAATGGTTATCCAGTTACTGATGCATCTGCCAAGCAGAGCCAAGCAGGAGGGGCACTGGGAGGCGGCCTTGCACATGGACCTCCAGAAACCGGCAGGAGGATGCAGGGCGGCCATCCCCTCTTGTCTGCCCTTCTGGCCAAGTCTGGACTCAGATAAAACTCCTCCCAGAAGGATATCAATCTGGCCCACCTTCCCAAGGACCCTGTCAACATGCGTGGACCATCTGACCCCACCACAGACCCCCTGTCTAACCCCACCAAGCTCGGAACTCTCCATCCAATCCCCTCTCCCCCCTCCAAAAAAGGAGCCAAAAGGTCTACGTACAGCTCCAAAGCTCACCATTGGTGACCGGCCATAGGCAGCGGCGGCAGCGGCGGCCGCACTCATCTGGGGTGGGATGTTGTGGAGGCTGGCGTAGGCACTGGGGCTGGTGAGGGAGCCGTTCATCTCGTGGTGGCTCATCATGGCAAAGGGGGCGGCGTAGGAGCCGGTGATGGAGATGGGGGCGCGCAGGGCAGAGGCTGGGGGGGGGAGGGAGAAATCAGCGGGAGGGCGAGGAAGGGGCCCATAACTGTACCCCCTAAGGCTGCCACTTCTCTCAGGCAATGACTCCCACCCCACCCCACTGGGTCCCTGCCCGTGGAGCCCAGGCTGCAAAGCAGGGTGGGGATGTCTAGAGGTGGATTATTCACAGCCATAGCCTGGGGTGCCTGGCCTGTCTGAGGCATCTGATGATGTCTCTCCTCTCCATCCGCCAGGGCCCCAGCTCGGCTGCCCTCCCCCGTGCCCTGGGCCAATCCTACGGCTCTAGCCTGCACTGGGTTTCTCCCTTCCCGCTCCACCCAAGTCAGCCCGGCCGTGCGGTGCCTACCCATTATACCTATGGGGTCCATGCCTGGAGGTTTACCGGGCATGGCCCGGAGCCCCGGGGTCGTGCTGGTGCCTGGCGTGGGGGCATCGTTTCTTGGCGTTGGCGTACTGGACTTGAGCCCGGGAGTGGAGGACTTGTCATTCTGAGGAAGGGAGCAACAGGGACCATTTCTTCCAAGGGCTGGGGTGCATACCATCCCACCTGGTCCCCCAGGAAACCTGGACCCCCAGGTAGCCTGAGCTGGCCCCACTTCAGGACCTTTTATGGCTCCTGTTTGGCGGAGACTCCTAGTTTTAGACGTAGCCACTGAGGCTCAGAAATATTCACTAACTAAGCCAGCGCCCGTGGTTCACGCTTGTAATCCTAGCTACTCGGGAGGCTGAGATCTGAGGACTATGGTTCAAAGCCAGCCCGGGTAGGAAAGTCTGTGAGACTCTTATCTCCAAGAAACCACTCAGAAAACCCAAAGTGGTGTTATAGCTCAAGTGGTAGAGAGCTAGCTAGCCTTGAGCAGAAGAGCTGAGGGACAGCGCCCAGGCCCAGAGTTCAAGCCCCATGACTGACCCCCCCAAAAAAGAAAAAAAGAAATGTTCACTAACTAGTGTGGAATCCACCCAGATCCGGAGTTACACCCAGCCTGTACCTGCGGCCTTGTTCTTCCTTCCTTCCCTCCCCTCTCCCCCACCTCCCCCCCCCCATGCCTTCCCTTCCTTTCCCTCCCCACCTACATGACCAAGTTCTTTGGTCTTGGAGGACGGCGTGCTGCTGGAGGAGGCCACCGAGGCAGGGCTGGCAGGGGCGTCCTTCTTTAGGCCCCGGGCCTTGTCCAGGCCGTTCTCGGGAGGAGAGTGTGCGGGGCTGACCCGGGGTGTGGCAGGGTCCTGTAAACACAGCCACGCAGGGAAGTTCGGAAAGCCCAGGGCATGCTCAAGATCCCTCTGCCCCAGGAACAGGAATGGAGAAGGGATGGATGGTGGGAAAAAGCTTGACTGACAGATGAGAGGGGACTAAGAGCCTAGGATGGGGTCAGTGACCCATCCAAGTTCAAACACAAAGACTAACAGGCTGGGAGGGGCTGGGCTTCCTATAGGAGACCTCCGCCCTGCTGGGCACAGGAGGGCAGTGGACTCTTCAGAACAGGAGACACCTCTCCCAAGCTTTTCCTAGTACCTACACTCACCAACCACAGGGGCAAAGCCCTGCTGGGTACCAAAAGGAACCACCACAGGCTACCCCAACCAGCAGCCAGCACCAGGGACATCTTACCTCATTCGAGACATCCACCACCAGATCGTCACTCTTGTCCCCATCACTGTCCTACAACCAAGAGAGCGGCCAGCGGGCCAGTGAGGCCCGACCTCCCCATCAATGCCTCCTTCATGCTCTCAAGCTGCTTCTAAGCCCAACTTCCAGAGATCTAGAACTTTCCCTGCCCCCATGCTCACTGGACAGCCTTACAGACACCCATCTATCACTGTACCCCCACATCTCACCCCTTTGTGTCTCTATTGCCCACCACGAAGCAATCTCACCACTCCATCCGAGCCCAGGGCCACGGGGCAGTCAAGTGGCCCCTGGGACTTGGGGCCAGGCTCCTGAGTGCACAGCTGTTCCCCTAACTCAGCTTGGCCATGACTTGCTAGGGCCCCCATGCTAGAACATCACATTACCATGGCCGTGGCTGGGTAGAGCTGGGGCTCATGTGGTCAAATGCCAGCTGTGAGTGAGAAAGCTAAGCGGCAGTGCCCAGGCCCTTCCTGAGTTCAAGCCCCAGTACATGTCAGCACACACACCTAAGTATTTAACATGCATCCTGTGCACATTCAGTCAAGCACTGGTGGCTCGTGCCTATAATCCTAGTTACTAGGGAGGCTAAGATCTGATAAGAGATTTCAAGCCACTCAGGGCAGGAAAGTCAGTGGGACTCCTTATCTCCAATAAACCACCCAAAATGGGGCAGAGGAGCTGTGACTTAAGTGGTAGCGCCCTAGCCACGGGCAGAAACGAACAAACAAACCCACCCTCAGGAATAGCACTCCGGTCCTAAGTTCAAGCCCCAGGATCAGCACCAAAAATATAAAAGCCCAGGGCTGAGTGGCTGATGTCTGGGGCAACCTATGGAGTGCCTGGGGCTCTCTTGGAGCTGGCTGGGATTCTGGGAGATCCCAAGGAAGATCCCCAGACCTGACAGAGGTCAGGACACCCCATCTACCCCCTCTCCTCAGTGAGTGTGAACTCCCTGGGGCCCAGCCCATACGAGCTTTAGTCTCTGCCCACAGCGTAATCTCCCCCCCACCCCCCCCCCCGAGCTAGGGCCACAGCTCAGCCACACTTTGGGCCCCCACGTCACCCTACCCAGCCCAGGTGGCCCAGGCCAGACATACGTATCGGCTCAAGCTGTCCTTCTCCTCGGCTTTCCTTTTCTTGGCTTCCATGCTGTAGTCAGCAGAGCCCCGGTGCTTCTCGCTGGCCCGGAGACTTTCTGAGGGCGACACCGAGTTATTCTGAAAGCGAACAGAGGATATGGGGTCAAAACCTCCCACGGAGGGGTCACATGACAAAGCAACCTGATGCAGGTGGCAGGAAAACACAGAGGAACAAAGCGGTGTGGGGGTCGTCTCTCTCCTGGGACTTAGGCCTGGCCCATCATTCATGGCCTCACTGGGGAGCCCTGCCCTAGCTTTGTAGCCTGGGCCCTGGAGGCGGGGAGGGTTCCAGAGAGCACACACACCCCCCCCCTCCGCCTTCTCTAGCAAGAAGGCTGCCGTGGAATAACCCCAGGGTGCTGGCTGCTTCACGGCCCCCCGTGGGGCACAGCATGGACGCAAGTGGGCATCGCCTGTGTGCACTGTGACACTTCTATGCTCAAAGCAGGGATGCGGGAGTTCAAGTATCTTAAATAAAAGATGGGTTGGAGCCCCAGGTCTCAAGCGGTGCAGGAATTCAGAGTCAGGACAGTGGGCACCAGCTGCTGCCAACGAGACCTTCAATGCCCACCCCGCTTCCCCACAGTGCATCAGAGCCTTTCCTACTCAGACAGGAAAGCCCGAGGAAGGGAAGTCAGCTGATGTAAACCAGGGTCAAAGGCCTAAAGGATTCAATGGGTCAGACCTGGAGTGAGGGGCGGGGCGAGGGATGGAGGGAGATGGACAGGAGACAATGGACCAATGGCAGAGGCCAGCGTTATGGCCAGGAGAACTGGGCATCAACTGTCCCTAAGCAGAGGGCTGTGAGCTTGACCAACAGTGCCACTTAGGTGCCAACTCGAGTCTCCTCTCTAGGAGACCATCAATTCCTCAGCGCCCTCCATTCCCAGAGCATCTGCCTTGAGTTGGGCCGGGTTCTGCATGCCAGGGGGAATGGAATGAGCAAGACCTGGTCCCTACCCTCCATGAGCTTTGAGTCTAGCTACAGGGATGGAAAAGGCCAGTGGGTCCCTGGGCCTAGCAGAGCAGAGATGCACGGTGAAATAACGGTTCAGAAGAAAACAGTGCTGAGGGCAAAGTCACTGCCTCCACCCTCCCCCCCCCACCTTCCCCCATTTTACCAGGCAGGTGGCTCAGGGAAGGAGCATGCTGGACAAGCCAGTGGGCGGTGTGGGGGAGAGAGGGAGGGAGGGGAGGGGAGGGGACGGGACTGGGGCAGGAGCCAGCCACAGAACTTAATTTCCTTTCTTAAGCCCGTTTCTGGGCAGCCCTTCTCTGCCAAGTTTCTGCCCGCAGCAAATTAAAATGGCAGAGTTATCAAGCCTTGAAGAAAAGATGGAGGTAATGGGACTACAGCTCAACCTTGCCCAAAGCTGTGCATGAGAGAGAGAGAGATAGGAGAGAGAGAGAGAGAGAGAGAGAGAGAGGATGGCACACAGCCGCAATTCAATTAGCTGCTGCAAGCACCCGCAGAAAAATCACCGTCATTTCATTTCATTTCCTCCAACGGGGGGTGGCCACCTCGTGCTTAGCAGAAATGCTTCCAGCCCCCAGGCTGCCTGCCCCTCGCAGGCAAAGGGGGGTGGGGAGATGGGAGGGGAGGGGAAGGCAGGGAAAAGGGGGAGGGGTGTGCAGCAGCAGCACAGTAAGCTCTTTCTTCTCATGCAGTCAGGCTGAAAACCCTCCCTGCTACCGGAGAGCCGTGTCAGGCATTTAGCGGCATCGATCCAGCCCGCCTCTGGCTGGCAGGCGGCCAAAAAACTAAGTATTTTTTATTGCTTGGGCTACGCAAGGAAATATGAATGAAGCCACCTCTAATTGGACTCCAGACTCACCCCTCTGGGATGGCTTCCAGCCCATCCACCCGTCTCCCTCCTGCTCTGTCCTTCCTGCTCTCAGCTCATCTGTTGACAACCTGATTTCCAAAGGCTGATTATTCTAGTCTACACCAGCCAACACCACCATCGCCATCACCTCCCCCTTCCCGCTCCCACCCCCACAGAATCTCCAGCTCCAGCCCTGAAGGCCCAGCCCAGCCTTCCTGCCGGCCCTGGCCTCAGGTTGGTCGGATTCATCCCTATTCATCCTCCAGTAGCTCTTTTCTTGTTGTCCCCCTCTGCTCTGGGCTGTGCCCTTCATGAATGTTGGTGACTTAGCTCTTAGGGGTCCCCAGGGGCTTCTAGCCTTCATCAGCCAGGGCTCAAAGCCAAAAACAAACTGAAATGAGGATGCTATGAAAGACACAGAGGCTTCTGGGGTTCAAATGCCCACTCACCTGTGGGACTGAGTCCTGTTTGGGGGATATGGTGGGGTTCTTTCTGAACAAAGCCAGCTGGGCAGGGTTAATTCCCACAGTTCACATACAGAAACAGAGAGGCCAAGAGAGCGACCTATCTCGCAAAGTTGGGGCCAGAGCTACGCTAAAAGTCCAAATCAGACTCACTGCTATCTGGACAAACTTCCTCTCTAACACCTCCAAAAAAAAAAAGCCACTTTATGATTGATTTCTCAGCTTCCTATTCAGTTCTTCAATACCTAGCCCTTCCTGGGTCCAAACAAGAGACCTGGATTTCTGATCCCATAGGCAAGGTGAAGAGTTACAGCAGCCTTGTTGCTAATGGGGAGATTTAAAACCTTAGCCCCGGAGGAGGGAGGGCGGGGAAGGGAGGGCAAATAGGATGAAGGCTGCTGTCTGGATGGTTAGCTAACTGACCTTCCAAGTCCCACATAACACAGAGGTAATAAGCAAAGCCATCCTAGCAGATTAGATGGCCCCAGATACAAGGACAGCAATGAGGAAGAACAGCTCTGCTAATAGCTGGAGGATTTTCTTATCCAGACTCCACCACGCTGGTACATAACCACCTTGGAGCCACCATGCGATCAGAAAGATTTACAACAAATCTCAGAGCTTGGCAGACACATGGGTGGCCTGGCTTTAATGCCTACTGGTGAGCACTTTCTTAAGCCAAGTAAAAGCTCAGAGCAGGGAGAAAGAAACCTGGGGCCTCTGAAGGAAAAGGATTCAGGACCAGAAGGTAGTCAGGCATCCACCTTGCAGGGTAGGGAAGAGCCGCAGCCAGGGGTGGGGGGAACCTGGGGTCCTTAACTCTGGCTCAGCCCCAGTGGTTCCACAAAGTCCTTTGGAAGAGGCAGGGCTGGTCAGCTGGTCATTTCCTAGGACACGGAATCTGGGATCACTTAGCCAAGCTCTTCCTGTGACAAATGCCTAGAGCACTTCCATAATAAAGGCCCATGCTCAACAGGTGACCATAACCAGCCCCCTCCCACCACGGCCAACAGACAAGCGAAGTAGTTCTGAGAAGACATAAACCAACATCACAGAGTTCAGCTTCGATCCACAGAGCAGAACAGAGGACCAGTCTCCACCCTATTGACCCTGAGGCTGGCTGTGGACCCACAGGCTGATACCAGCCCACAGCTGAGAGCCAGATCTCAACCTGCGCCCAAGCCCACCCCACAGGGCCCAGAACCACACACTCACCGCGCTCGAGTCTCTCTCTTTGGGGAAAGAATCGAAGAGAGCAGCAGGAGGGTCCGATCCCCAGGGGAAAAAGAGGAAGAACAGGCAGAGGTCAGAGGTCAGTTTTAGCACAGCTGGTTTTGTGATTTGCTAACATGTCAATGGGGCAGAAGGCAATGTCTCTGCCACTACCAGGTGACAACGGCTCTCTATGGATCTTAACCACCCCAGTTGTAGTGCACCTTGGTTCTAGCACACCCCTAGATTCCAGCACGGCCCCCATTCCAGTGCCCAGAGTGAGAACTAGGAGTTAAGAACATTTTTGCTCCTACCTGCCCCCCCCCAAAAAAAAGGGACAGAATTTGGGGGTGGATTTTGTTTTCCTCTTCTGAATTACCACCATTCTGTTTCTTTGCCAAGAAGCCCCCAGAAGCTGGAATCTCTGATTATCTGCTCAACTACACATGAGCCCACACCTCCTCGCCCGTGGCCCAGGGACACCATGGGACACAAAGCTTGCCCACCAGCTCCTGCTCAGGGCAGGCGGGCTCCGCCCCAAGCCTCTTGCCCAGGGCTCCACAGTGTCAGCCTGTGCAGTCTTGCAGTGAGCCAGGTCCTCTGTCTTCTACATGCAGCAGCCCCCCACCCCAATCTGAACTCCTGTGGTGTCCTGGGCCCCATGGGAGGGCTAGCTCATCGCTGTCACAAGCATGCCAGCATGCACAAGGCACCTCAAACCAAAGGCAGAAACTGCTAACTTGTCCTTTCTATGCTAGTGAGAACTACATACTTAGAAAAACCTGACCCTCAAGATGGGTGAGGGCATTTTCTAGAGGGCAGGACTTGAGAGGCTGGCATTGACTCCTCCCGTGTGTGTGTGGGGGGGGGGCATGCGCACGTGTGCAAGCGCATGCATTCACGCATGCGTGTGTGCTGGTCCTGAGGCTTGAACTCCGGGCCTAGGCCTTGTCCCTAAACTTCTTTGCTCAAGGCTGGTACTACTCTACCACGTGAGCCACAGCGCCACTTCCAGCTTTTTGGTGGTGAATTGGAGCGCTCCAGACTTCCTTGCCTGGGCTGGCTTTGAACCGCGATCCTCAGATCAGTAAATGGCTCCCAGTCTCTAGCTAACTTCTGGCAGCAGCATGTACTTTGTTCCCCTGGTGCACACCTGGCCTCCCAATCCCCTCCCAGCCCTGCCCCACCCTTGAGCCTCACCTCTGTGGTCCAGTTCATGATGGCTCTTCTCATCCTTCACGGCAAGATGGGCCTGGCTGCCCAGGGCGCCGAGGGCCAGCAGCCCGGCACTGCCCCCAGTCACCGGGGGTATCCCAGGAGGCTGGAGGCCTGACGGGTGGGGTGGCAGCTGGACCGGGGGGCCGTGCGTGGCGTGGGACAGGTGCTGGGCCTGGAGCTGCTGCTGCTGTGGTGAAGGTGGTGGTGAGGACAAAGGTGACCCCTCCCTCCCCTCCCCCTCCATCAGGGAGCAGGGCAGAAGCAGGGGGAAATGCACCCCCAGACCATGCCCCCAGCTCAGCCCACAGGCACGGCTTGCTCAAAGTCCAAGGGCAGAGAGCAATTCAGACACAGGATTTGTGTCTTCAAGCACCCCACCCACCTGCCTCCAGCCAGAACAGATGTCCCCAACCCCAGGGTTGGCTTGAAGAGTTGGGGCAGGGCAAGCCATTAGCAGGAAAATGTCAGAAGCAAGATGAGCCCAGGGCCAGTCAGAGTGGAAAACGGGGCATCGGGAAGAGCAGACCCTTCGGGACCGGAAAGAACAGGGGCTGAGTCCCAGCTCTGGTCCTTATTGGCCAGGTGGCCTTGGGCTGGTACAAATCAGCCTCCTGAGCCTTAAACACTGACAGCAGAGGAATCCGACAAAGGAGCACTCACTCTCAGGATGGTGGCTAGAATCTTTGGGGGTTACCAAGGGTTCCCAGCTGTTCTAACAATCTGACATCCCTTCCCTCCACAGGCTTCAGGGCTCCTAAGCCTCTAGGATCAGAATGTCTCAGAATGCCCCAGTGATGGCCAAGCCTGTGCCTGGAAGCGTGGCATCATGGGACATGCTGGTCTCTACTTCTGCACACAACCTTCTTCCTAACAAGCACCAAGAGAAGGTATCCAAGACTCAACGGATGCCTGCCTGCTTTCCGGAGAGATGGATTACTCAGCTAAAGAAGTGGGATCCGGATTCAAATGTGACAACTCCCACCTGAAGTAGGTGTTCCTCAGAAGCAATCCAGGCAAGAGGAGTTGATGGGGTAACAGACAGCAAAGACCCCATCCTGACTGAGGGACTGCCCTTCCCCCATCCCGCACCAAGTTAGCCCTTTGGGGCTCCCAGTCCCAAAGGGCTCCATCTCTCCACTCTGAGATGAGCATTCAAGACCAGCAGGGAGCCACTGGTACCCACTCTAAGCACCTCACTGAGGCTGGTGGTGGGCATGGACTTCATCTGCCAAAAAAGGCCAAGCTGAGCCATGGTAGCTTCAGGAGCTGGCATTACCAGAGCCCTAGGTACCCTGCACATTTTGGGCCAAGGAGCCCAGACTCTGCTCACTAGGGGCTTAATTGCAATGCTCCTCTTTTAAAGAAAGCCTAATTAAGAAATGTCTTCTTGCACAAATACATGCTCACCATTAAAAAGTGGGTATGTGTGCGTGCGTGCACGCACGCAAGTATTAAGGCTTGAACTCAGGGCCTAGGCACTATCTCTTGGCTTTTTCATTCAAGGCTAGCACTCGACTACTTGAGCTATAACTTTACTTCTGGCTTTGCTGGTCTATCAGCGATAGACTCTCATGGACCTTCGTGCCAGGACTGGCTTTGAACCACAATCCTCCAATCTCAGCAACCTGAGTAGCTAGGATGACAGGGGTGAACCACAAGCACCTGGCTTAAAAGAAATGTTCTGAAGAAATCAACTTGTCTTCCTGGGGAGCCACTTAGCATTTCCTGTTGTGGTTGGACTGCGTGACCTCATCCAGATTCCGGGTGCAGTCAAGTCTCTCGTGGGTCCCACTCTACTTCTAAGCCCATTGCTAGGAAGCTCCTGGATTCTGTTGCTGGCAATGATCCAGTAAAATCCCCAGAGAGCGAAGACGAAAGTACAAAGTCCAGTTTCACAACGCAGAGCCAAAAAAGACCTCAAGGAAGACACGGAAGGAGGAAGGGCAAGATGGCTCCCAAGACTCAGCTCCACTGGAGGCAGATGAGGCGAGCTCTTCCCATGAATGATTCTGGGTCTCAACCCAGAGCTCATGGACTGCTGGTACTCAAGGGAGACCTCCAATGCCACTTCTTGGGGATGCTGTCCACCTCCGGGTCAGAACGTGGGGTCTGTCATTTCTAAGAGTTCTAACAGCTCAGACTCTGGAGGAGCAAGAGAGTTCCAGGTGAGGCTTCCTGCTCTAGCCTGTATCCACCATGAGTCCCCCCGCAGGTCAGCTGACCTCTCCAGGAGACTGGAGCTACTGACTGTCATCCGGCCATCCCAGGGTCACACCTCGAGAAATGGATGCTCCTTAAAGCCATTCATGCAGGCTTGGCAACTTGTGAGTTCCAGAAAGACGGAGCCCCTGTCTTGCTTGACCGTGCCAGCACCTCTTAGTCCTGGCATATTTCCTGTACCCATTTTCTGGATGAACACACAAAATGCTGGAGAAGTGTATAAGTGGCAAGCAGGGAAAATAAATCCACAGAGAGCCCTGCACAAAGGTAACTGATGATCGCTGATCTCTGAGGCCCGAGCAGAGAGGCGGCTAGATGGGTTCCTGGGAATAGGACGCATCAGCAAAGGAAGGAGCCAGCTCAGCACCCCCCAGGACACGAGCCAGCATCAGAATCCTGGGGCAGAAGCAGCCGCAGTAGCTGCTCAGCAAACAATGGCTTCCAAGACTGGCAGGATAATCCTCTGACTTTGTATCGAAGACAGGTAGATCTTCCATGCAGACAAGTCTCTCTTCTGCCTCTGTGTACAGCCAGGCTCTGACAACACTGACCCTACTGGCTAGGGTCAGCCTGCAGTGACTGTTAATCCATCCGTGTTCCAGCCCTAGGAGGGAGACGCCTGTCACAGTTACCCTCAAGCTGTTTCTCTCTCCCCTGCCACACATCCTGTCTTTAGGGCATGAGGGACTCCAACTCAGCCCAGGTCCCAGTGGGAGGATGACAGGTTTGTTTTCTTCCCCTGACTGGGGGCTTTCTCTGAGGAGCAGGAATGGCCACCTACAAACAATCTGAAGCCAGCTGTCTCCACCTTCCTGGATTTCTCCCGGGACAGGCCTTTCTCCATCCATGATCTTAAAGGAAGTCCAGCAGGCTTCCCTTAACCTCCAAAAGTGGAGGCTGGGGTGAGTGCGTGCGTGCGTGCGTGCGTGTGTGTGTGTGTGTGTGTGTGTGTGCAGGGAGTCTGGAACTTAAGCCCTTCATATCTTTTTGCTTCTTCTTCCTGAGCTCTTCATGTCAGAACACAAACACATCACCGATAGGTCCTCTGGGGCACATGCAGGTCCTCATCCTCAGCACCGGAGCCCCGGAGATAATGCGTCCACTCACAAGAGGCAGCAGAGAGAATGCTTCGTTTCCAAGGCTCCCGATGATTTATTTGGGTTAACCTCGAACTCCTGGCCCTGAGCTCCCATAAGCAGCAAGCAAAGACAAGGGTCCTCACACAATTCATGACAAACACATCCTCCCTCGGGGATGGAGCCAGCCCAGGGCTCCAATTATTTCTTTTCACACAGTTCAGTGGTCCCCAGGGCTCTACACAGATCTAAGCTTTTTCCGGGCTTAATAATAGCTTGTACTGCTCGCCACCACCATTCAGAGAGAGAGAACAGGTTCTAAGGGCTGGAAGAATCCAGTGGCTGCCAGAGCCAGGACCGGACTCCAGCACCACCTCTGCACCACCGCTGCCTGGTGGCGGCGGCCTCTGTACCATCATCATGGGAAATCCAACCACTGCGATCAGACAGCTCGTCCACCCCTGGAGTGAACACCAGACTTACAGCTGCCATGAACCTTTAGTTTGTGATGATATCACTCTCTCTCTTCTTCTCCCTCCCACCCCAGAGAAAAAGATCAAACCAATGGCCTTACACCATCTCATCTGCCAACAGTTCTCAGGGAACGAAGACCTGATCATCAGTGGACAAGGGAAGCCGATCTCCACTCTCCTTCCACCCCATCCCCCACTCCTGACCACCGCCGGCCAGTGGTCAACTCCCAGGGTCTTCATTAATGCCTCCTGCAAGCTGGATGGCCCCTTTTGGGACTCAGGATGCTTGGAATTCTCAATAAGGCCACTCCAATAATGTGGTTCCCAGCAGCTGAGGGCTTGTCGCCCCCAAGGAAGAGACTCTTCGGGTCTGCCTTCCCCATGGAAATCTGCTTCCATGTGGTAGGCATGGCTGACTGACTAGATTCCAGCAGTGTGTGTTCTAAGAGACTCTCTCCTCCACTGCTCCCCAAAAACAAATGAACTGGAGCAGCCCATGCTGAACAAAACCTGGCTGGTCCTCCCCGATCCTTCATAAATGGGGAAACCAAGGCCTGCCCTGCTTCTCTCTACCTTTTATGGGAGATAAGCAAGGCCCTTGGCTAGGGTGGCCGCCTCTCCCTTAAGCAGCCCAGCAGAGCCCAGCGGGGCAAAGGTGACAGCCACCTTCCCTTGGAGTCAAGAAGCAATTATCTTGACAGTGAGGGTGGCAGACCACACTGGCCAGCTTTAATTGAATTCCAGCACTGCGTCGCTGAGAGGCTGCCCTGGCCGCACCTGTAACTTCCCTAAATAATCCCCAGAGGAAAGGCAGCCCTTCCGCCCCAATTTTACTCCCTTCTTACCACTGAGATGAAAATGATTTCCATTAGAGGATTTTTAATTACAAAAGGGAAGGCTGGGCAGGGAGAGGGGGCAGGGACCCCACCTGTAGCCACCACAGGGGTGAAGAATTCATCCCGGTGATATTAAGGGGGGCCTGGAGGGGTGCAGGCAAGGGGTCGCGGAGAAAGGCTTTTGGAAGAGAACTCAGCGGCACGTGTGCCCACTTACACCTGAGTCCGCCACCACAATGCCACAGAGTGCTGGGACACAAGCCCACCCTGGAAGGTAAGGAGCAGGTGGGATAGCCTTGGGAATCTGGTCGGTTTGGTAACTGAACACATCTGCAAACCAAGGGCCCTGGGCTAGATCCAAACTTAAATCAGCTTCTGTGGGGTGTCATGTGTGTGCATGGGGGTGCTGACAGCCAGTGGGGTCAGGCAAGAAATGCTACTATATCCTTCAGTACATAAAGTAGCAAAGAGCTGTCTGGTCCCAAGTCTCCAGTGAAACAGGTGAAGAACCCTGGCTAGATGCGGGCTGGGGATACTCAGCATTACAGTAGAATAGACTCTCCTCTCCAGCACCAGACCCTTCCTTGTAGCCCAGCACCAGTGGCTCAAGCCTATAATCTCAGCTACACAGGAAGTTGAGATCTAGGATCACTGTTAGCCCAGGCAGGAAAGCCATAGATGCTTGTTAACCATCAAAAATAACAAGTAGAGCTGTGGCTCAAGGGGTGGTAGAGCACCAGCCTTGAGCCAAAAAGCTCAGAGAGAGAACCAGGCCCTGAGTTCAAGCCCTAGAAGCAGTGCGTGCATACATACACACACACACACACACACATACATACACACACACACACCAACTTTCTCCTGCTCCCACCCCACAGGGTAGGCAAGGTACCCCATCCTCACCCCACCAAGGCCCGGCGTGACTTGTTTCCACCCCTCACAGCAGCCCTAGAAGCTTTCCCAGGCAGGAACACCTGTGACCATCCTGGGTTCCCACAGTGGGTCAGAGGGAGGAATCCACCACTGTCCTGTGACTCTGTCTGGCCCCCAGTCTCCTTTCACAACCACAGAGTGGGGTCTGGGGATGAAGGGACCTCCTGTAAAGTCCCATAGCTATGACAGGGGTCTGAGTCCTGGTTTGTGAGCAGGAGACAGACTTCAGTTGCCTTATAGAGAACCAAAGGATATGAAGACACCAGCATCAACACATGTATGGGTGTGGGTGGGGCCTCAGCCAACCTGGAAAACTGAGCCCCACCTCCTGGCCTATGGAGTAGACCCTGAGCCCCACTGCCTGGCCTGTGGAACAGAGCTGAGTATTCATGGGCTCCTTCAGGTAGCTGTAATGGATCCTTCCTACCAGACTCATTTTAGGAACAAAAGATAGACAGCTACAGCCCCAAAGTCACAAAGAAAATATAAACAATATTCTTTGCTTCACAGCACAACAATGGGCCTGTCTAAACACCCAAGTTTACCAGGTATGATGGCGCACTTCTACAATCCCAGCACGGGGGAGGCTGGGGATCACAGCCTGGGCTACGCAAGTGAGACCCTGTCTCCACAAAGCAAAGCAAAACACACACAGAGGGGCCACGATGGGGCCCAGTCTCTGCTGATGAGTTGAGGAGGCGGCCATGGGCCTTGCAACGCACAGTCTGCCCCGTGTCTGGCTGGAATGGGACTTCTGGAAGGCTGGGGTGATGTCTAGGGGCCCCCGCTGGAATTCACAAAGGTAGGTGAGAAAGCCATGCAGCCTGGCGTGTGGGACAGCAAGACCCAAACCCACAACTCCGCAGCACAGTGCACACAGTGAACAGAGACAGCTCTGATCTCGGCAGCCAAAGAAGGGCACACCACTGGTGGGAGGGAGCAGGAGGCCTGGAGAAGGTGGGAGGCTGAGGAGGCCCAGCTGGCCTGGGCTGGGGTGATCCCAGCACCCTCAATGGCAGGACAAAGCTTACACTGGGGACTAGGAAGCAATTGGGGGTGCTACTGGGGAGACCTCCCAAATAGATACAATCCCCCAGGATGTTTAGGAAGTTGTGGGGCAGGGGAGGGGAAGGTGCGGGGGGGGGGGGGGGGGGGAGAATGCCATTCTTTGAAGCCAGCCAAAGTCAGGGTCTATCTCTGCTTCAGTACATGAGAGGAATTAAAGGGCTATACACACGGTGAATGGAAGACTGGGGAGTCCACGTACCCCGATGATGGCGTTCAGCTCCGTCATGGTAACCTGCTTGGCGCGTTCCACCGCCTGAGCCACCTGCTGCTGGTGCTGGGGAAACGGGGGGTGGGGTGGGGGGAGAGTGTTAGACAATTCCATGGGGGAGAGTGTTAGACAATTCCATGGTGGGGGACTGCCATGGGAGGGGGTAGACTGTGAGAGAGGGCTCCTCACCTCTTGTGACAGGAAAGGCATGATCTGGGCTAAAATGGTGTTCAGTCTCTTCGCGATCTCTGTCTGCAGAAGGGGAAATTAAAAAAAAAAAAAAGTCCCCGTGAGGGTGGCGTAGGTCATAGGTAACACATCTAAGTCGCAAGTTCAAGCGTGAGCTGAGGGACTGCATGACCCCTCCCCTCTCCAGTCCTACCAAAGCCACGGCTTGGAGTGAGCTCGGCCAACTCCCCAGCCACCACGCTTACCACCTTTCAGGGGTCTTCCCCTTTTGATTCAGATTATCCATGGATGGGGGGGACCCCGTCTCCCCCGCCATTAAATCCAGACAAAGCAAAACAAAACCCACCCCGTATTCCAGAAAAGCCCTTTTGGCACGAGGGAAAGGCAGTCTGGTCGCAAGGCATGGGGCTCCACCTGACCAGAGTGGGTGAGGGAGAAGAACACCTTGCACAGCACAGGGAAGGGTAGCCTTGAGCAAGCGTCACACGCGGCCTCCAGGGCCTTCCCGTGGCAGGAGGCTTCCTCCTTTTCAATACCTCCCTCTCTGCCCCCATGTTGCCTGCCCCTCCCATACACATGCTACCCATCCTGCAAGAGCAACATCCGGTCTTAAAGCTCTCTGAATAACCCTGCACATATATGGAGCCTTCCTAGGCCACTCTGGAGAAAACCAGAGCTCTCTGCAAACCCAGCTCTCAGGTCTCGAGTATGAGACATGGTTCACTGAGTGCCGAGAGAAGGGCCTAGCACCATGGGAAAGGCCGGGCTGCGTGTCAGAATGGGCATCAAAGCTGCCCTCAGCACGCGGGGCGATCTTTGCGAGACAAAACCATGACAACAGGCCGAAGGCCTTGCAGCAATCTGCGCTGAGTGTGCACCCAGTCATCCTGGATGGGAACTCCAGCCGGGTGCACTTACAATAAGATAGTGTCATCTAATTGGTCTGGGCCTCAGAGAAAGTCCTCAGGGCCAACTCCCCTCCACCCCGGCCAGGAAAGATGATGCTTCTGAATTAGAGGGAGAGGAGGAGGGAGGGAAGGAAGAAGTATGGAGGGAAGCGGAGGGGTTGGGGGGAGAGGGAAGGAAGGAGGGAAGATAAGAGCAGGCTGGGCACTGGTGGCTCACAATTGTAATCCTACCCACTCAGGAGGCTGAGAGCTGAGGATCTTGGCTCAAAGGTAGCTCGTGCAGGAAAATCAGAGAGACTCTTATCTCCAATAAACTACTCAAAAAAAAAAAAAAAAAGCTGTAAGTGGTGCTATGGTTCAAGTGGTAGAGGGCCACCTTTGAGCAAAAGCAGCTCAGGGACAGTATCTAGGCCCTGGCTGAGGTCAAGCCCCAGGACCAGCACTAAGAGAGAAACAGAGAGACAGTGAGGGAGCAGGCCTTGAACTGAAGAACCTGAAAGACTTTGCTCATCACCCTGCGTCCTGTGGCTGTGGCCCTGAGGGGAGGGCCTGAACCCTCTACCTCCTACGCTGGAGGTAAGCAAGGGATCCTGGCCTGCTGGATCCTGGTCTACTTCCTCTAGGTGATAGGTCAGAGGTCAGGGTATCTATTTCCTCTAGGCAACGGGTCATAGGTCAGGGTCTCAACCTTAGAAGCAAACAAAAGGGAGCTGACCCCCCCTTCTCTCCAAAACACACACACACACACACACACACACACACAGGGTCTGGCCTGGTAGTCCAAGGCTGAATACCCAGGCCACAAAGTGACTATGGCTGGATTGCTCAGAAGCCCTGTGGGCAGCTCACGGCCTGACTCAGACACTGCCAATGGCCCATGGGACAATGCCACAGAAACAGGAACAACCAGACGATGGGGAAGGTGGCCTGAGCACCTCCTCTCTTGTGCCCAAGTGAGACACAGATGGGTACCTGATGCTCAAGATCGCAGGAGCTGCGACCGGCAGGTGGGGAGCCAGGGTTACATGTCATCTTTATAATAACGGGAACTTTCCTGTCCTTAGGTCTTAAGCGTGGAGGGGGATACAGCAAACGCATGCAAACCTCATCTGGCCGGTTATAAGTCTGTCTTCGTGTGGTGTTGTGAATAATCCTTTCTTGGTCTCCCCCAAAACACAAGAACTAAGCCCCTGAGGTGGGGCTCTGCTTACTCTGAAAGCCAAAGAATGAATGACTTTTTTTTTTTTTTTGAGGGTGGTGGCAGACAGAGAGGAAAACTGATCAAAGAAGGTGGCCAGAGAGAATTACTGCTTAACAAGAATGGTATCTGTAATTCCTGTAATCCCAGCTACTCAGGAGGTTGGATAAGAAGATGGCCAGAAAGTCCCACCGAAAAGCCAAAAGTGGAGTTGTGGCTCAAGTGGTAGAGCACCAGCTTTAAGCAAGAAAAATGAAGGACGGTGTGCAGGCCCTAAGTTCAAGCACCAGGACCAGCCCCCCCAAAATGAAGAACAATCATCAAGACAGGTAACAGAAAACTCCTGAAAACACACACCCATTACAATCTCTGTGTCTTAAGTGGGGGAAACTGAGGCTCGACAACTCATTAGGCAACTCTATTCAATGACTCCCAGCCAATTTGGGGTGTTTTGAGAGAGCTCAGAGAAAAATATCTTTTTGAAAGACAAATGACCGTCGAGGTTAATGATCGACAAGCACTTCTGATTAGACCAGCTGCCCAAACAGTGTTGAGTCCAACTCAAACAGCCTCAAAGCATCAGCTCCAAACAAGAAGGAAGAGCAGGAAAAAAAAAAAAAAAAAAGAATCAAGGCAAAGTGATTTGCACAGGGAGGCAGGTCACACATCACAAACTGGAACGGGATGGAGGCATGCGGGGAAAACTCTTGTCCACGGGGCAGAAATCGGTTAATCAGCCTGGACATGGAGGTGCAAGAGACCCTCCTCCACATCCCCCTCCACCCAGGCTACAAGGCAGGACTTCTGAAGCCCCCAGGGGTGACAGGAGGAGAGTCTGGCCTCCTGCTGAGGCCTTTCAGAGATGCTTTTGAAGCACGGTTCAAAGGCAGCGCCGTTGTCAGGAGTAACTCATACACAGGGCTGGGAGGAAGCAGTTCTGAGGAGATGGGCAGAGTGTGTCACCTGCCCTGTGTTGCCATAGAGATGGTGGGGGAAAATAATGGCACTTGAGACCTAGATGTGGGGGCAAGGCATAATCTCCCCGAAGGAAGTGTGACTTGTCTGTGGATCACCTCATTCTACTACCCTCTGACCATCACACCCTCAGCCTGGGTTACTGGAACTTTCTGAATGCAGACGCCTCTCGTACGGTGAGGATCCACCTGCGCTGTGGCTGACTTCTGGCCATCCTGGAGTCATGTGGACAGCCTGTCCCTGGTCCTCATCCCCAGATACTGCTTGCTGCTGGCCCTTCCTTCATCTTTGATCCTCAGGTTTCAGCCTCCTGATAGGTAGGATTACAGGCTGAGTCACAGCGCACCCCACACCCCCAGTTTTTACCTACTTCTTCCTGCAACATAACAGTTTACAGCCACTTTGACCAATACCTGGGGTGTTGCACCTGGATGACCTAATTCATCTAGCACCTGAGGACTCTGAGCACACACTCCTTTTAATCTCAGCCAAACCTAAACCAGGCGACAGGAAATCCTGCCACTTTAAAGAGCATCCTACAACTGGTTGATAGTGGCTCACACCTGTAATCCTAGCTACTCAGGAGGCTGAGATCTGAGGATTGAGGTTCAAAACCAGCCCGGGCAGGAAAGTCCGTGAGATTCTTATCTCCAATGAACCACCAGAAAACCGGAAGTGGAGCTGTGGCTCATAGTGGTAAAGCGCGTCTTACAGTCCAAAGCCACACACAAGACCTGGCTTCTGTTCCCAGCCCAGTTTCTACATGGATGTGTGGCAATGGAGACCACAAGCAAATCACTTCTCTCCTATGGGCTTCTAATGCATGCAAAAGGGACCAGGCCAGTAATGTATACAGTCTAAATCCCAGCTCCAAAACATCCCTTCCTCCCCCATTTCATGGATTGCTTGTTGACTTGCTCTGAGAAACTACCACCAACCAGCTCCCTCCGTCCAGCTCCATAAAACAGGCCATGATGGGAATTTAAAAGAACCACAGGGACGGGCACTGGTGACTCATGCCTGTAATCCCAGCTACTCAGGAGCTGAGATCTGAAGAAGATCCCAGTTCAAAGCCAGTCTGGGCAGAAAAGTCCATGACATTTTCATGTAAGTCCAAAGACTCAGCAAAAAGCCAGAAGCAGAGGTATAGCTCGAGCAGTAGAGTACCAGCCTTGAGCCAGGCCCAAGAGTCTGGATTCAGGGCATGGACTATTCTAATCTGTCCAACAGCAAAGCTGCACGTAACATGGGCAGACTCAGCGAGGCACACGGAGATGAGGGCCCTGCGTTCACCAAGCTTCTCTTACCTGGAAGCACTTCCGTTCAGGCTGGGGGCAAGGGGCACCCCATGCCCCTTGCTAAGAGGCTCCAGTTCTAAATGAGGATGGATGAGGAAGAAGGGAAAAGCATGAGATGACCCTTGCCTCTTTGCAGCCACGGGGCAGACAGGATTCCCATCCCAGTTCTGTCTAACATGCCAAGAGCCTTGGAAAATAGGCCTTGGGCTCTGTGCCTCAAGATCTAGAACCCTGTGTGTCTGGGAGGCAGAGATCTGAAACTGGATTTTTACCTGATCCCCTGACAACTCCAGTGTGGAAATACATCTGCTTCATTCTGGATGCGGGGGGAGGGGAGTACTGGGTGGGGGGAGTACCGGGCTTTATACTCGGGGCCTGCTCTGTTCACACTCTACCACTTGAGCCAAGCCTCCAGCTCTGCTTTTTGCTGGTTATTAGAGGTCGAGTCACAAGGATGTTTTTTTTTTTTTTCTGTCTGTGGCTAGCTTTGAACTGCGATCTTCCAGATCTTAGTAGCTAGAATTACACGTGAGTCACTGGCACCTAGAGAATCTACTTCATTTTGAACTAAAATCAGAGGTGCAGGAAGGATTGAGGTTTTGGGGCTTTGTAAGAAGCTCCCTCTCCTGTTTCCAGGCACCAAATATTGGAAGATTCCAGAACAATGTTGTTTGGGCAATTTTA